CTTATAAACATTGAAGAAGTTGAATTTGAAACTAATATCCTCCACAAAAAGGAAATTCTAGGCCCAGATGGTTTCTTGGGAGAACTCCACGAGACATTTAAGAAATAATTAGTACTGGGGTGCCTGGGTGGCTCAGTGTAAGTTTAAGCCTCTGCCTTCAGCTCAGGTCATGATCTCAGGGTCCTGGGATCAAGCCCCACATCAGGCTCTCTGCTCAGCAGGGAGCCTGCTTCCCCCCCTCTCTCTGCCTGCCTCTCTGCCTACTTGTGACCTGTCAAATAAATAAATAAAATCTTAAAAAAAAAAAGAGAAAGAAATAATTAGTAGCACTTTAACACAAGCTCTCCTAGAAAACAGAACACTTCCTAATTCTTTATGAGGCCAGAATTAACCTTGATGTTAAAACCAGACCAAGACAACATTAAAAAAAGACAGAAATTACAGACCAGTATCTTTCATCAACTTAGACACAAAAATCATTAACCAATTATCAAGTCAAATTTGACAATGAACAAAATGGAAATGACTCAGATATGCAACACTGGTTCAGTAATGGAAAATCCATTAATGCAATGTGCCATATCAAATAGAGGATAAAGAAAAATCATGCTTGTATCAATAGATGCAGAAAAAGCATCTGACAAAAACCAAAAGCCTATTCACAATAAAACTTAACAAACAAGGTATATAGGGGAAACTCCCTGAATCTGTAGAGAGAGCACTAACTACACTAATGTCAAGCTTAATAAAGATAAATGCTTTCTCCTAAATTCGGAAACAAGTCAAGGCTTTTGCTTTTACTACTCTTATTCAGCACAGTGGTAAAAGTTCTAGCCAGAATAATAAGGAAGGAAAAAAGAAATAAAAGGCATACAAATTTAAAAAGAAGTGTAACTATCCTTATTTACAGAATACATGACTGTCTATACAGAAAACTCCAAGACGTCTCAAAAAACAAAACAAAACAAAAAGCCTTTTAAAGGTGAGTTCAGCAAGGCCAAAAGATAAATGGTCAAATATTAAAAAACAAAACACACATTTCTATATACTAACAACACGTGGAAAACAACATTAGAAATACAATGCCATTAAAATAAAATAAAATACAATACCATTTACAATCACATTATACTTAGGTATAAATCAAACAAAACATGTACAGAATCTATGTGCTGAAAATTACAATGCTAATGAAAGGAATTTAAAAAAAGACCTAAATAAGTGGGGAGCTATACTGTATTCACAGATTGGAAGAGTCAACATAGTAAAAATGTTAATTCTCCCCAATTTGATCTTAGTGTAATTCCTATCAAAATTCTATCAAGGTTTTCTGTAGGCATAGACAAAGTGAATACGAAATTTATATGTTAAAGCAAAGACTAGCTAAAATATGGAAAAGGCAAGAAATCTTTCATTTAAAACAGGAATAAGCATTCTATCTGATGTTAATGCTTACCATTTACCTGTACTGACAGTGCAGTACTGGCAGAGGGATGGATAGGCACACACATCAAGGGGAGACCACAGGGATTTCAGAAAAAGATTGACACAAACATTATAAACTGATTTTTGACAAAGATGCAGAAATAATTCAGTAAAGGAAGGACAGCCTTTTCAACAAATTATATGGCAACAAGTGGACATTCATAGGCAAAAAAGTGAATCTTGACTTGAATTTCATATATTATATAAAAATCAACTCAAAATAGACCAAGACTTCAATATAAAATGTAAAACTATAAAAATTTTAGGGAAAGAGAGAGAAGGAGGAGGAGGAGAGGGAAAGAGAGAGAGAGAGAGAATGAATGTATCTTCAGGACCTGAGGCTGGCCAAGAGTTTTATATCTGACTTTCTACCAAAAACATGATCCACAAAAGCAAAAATCAAAGCTCAATAAAATTAAAAATTTTGCAAGATTGTGTCAAGATGGAAAGATTAGCCACAAGAGTAGGAGAATGTATTTGCAAATCACCCACCTCAAAAAGGACTAGAATATATGAAGAACTCAAAGTTCAACAATTAAATAAAAAACAGACATTTCACCAAAAACAATATACCGATGGCAAGTAAGTATACAAAAAGATATTCCTCATCATTGCCATCAAGCATAATTCAAATTACCACACAGTAAGACATTACAACATACCTAGCAGAATGGATAAAGCTAACAATTTTGACACCACCAAATGCTAACAATGATATGGAGAAATTGAATCACTCGTATATTCCCCAGGGAAATGTAAAATGGTACAGCAACTCTGGAAAACAGTTCAGCAGTTTCTTAAAAAACTAAACATGTACTTATCATATGACCTAGGATTGCACTCCTGAGCGTTTATACCAGAGAAATGAAAGCAGGTTCTCACAAAAATCTTTGCTTAAATGTTTGTAGCTTTATTTCTAAAAGCCAAATACTGACAACATCCAAGTGTCCTTTAACAGCTGAAAGGTTAAACTGAATATGGTGCATCTATGTCACAAAATACTATGCAGCAATAAAAAGGAATGAGCTGTTGATACATGTAACAAAGTTGATGGATCTCAAGAGAATCATGCTGGAGGAATATGAGCGTGCCTAAAAAAGGATAGCAAAAGGGACTCTTCTGGTGATGGAAGAGTTGTACACAATCATTATAATACTGGTTATGCAAATCTATATAATGTGATGGAAATACACAGAAACACAAATACATAGAAATAAATGCATGAAAAACTGATGAAATCTGACTATGGTCTATAGAGTGAATCAGTACCAATTTTCTGAATTTGATACTGTACTACAGTAATGCAAAAATGTTACCATTATGGGAAAGTGGATGGAGGATACAGGGGACCAACCTGTACTTTATTATTTTTTTCTAAGATTTTATTTATTTGACAGAGAGAGAGAGGCAGGCAGGCACAGAGGAGAGGAGGAAGCAGGCTCCCTGCCGAGCAGAAGAGCCCAATGTGGGGCTTGATTCCAGGACTCTGGGATCATGACCTAAGCCGAAGGCAGACACTTGACCAACTGAGCCACCCAGGTGCCCCTCCAACCTGTATTATAAAAGAAAAGTCCAACAAATCTATAGTTTTTTCAAAATAAAACTCTTAAAAAACCCCCCAAAACAAAATACCTTCCAACAAAAAAATGTCCAGGCCCAGATAGTGTCACTGGCGAATTTGAGCAAATATTTAAGAGAAAAAAATACCAATCTTATCCAAGTATTTCTGAGAATGAGGAATAGTACTTTCAACTCATTATATAAGGGTAGCAAAAACCTGATGTGTATTAAAAAAAAAAGGAAATTACAGGTCAATATTCCTCATGAATATAGACCAAAAAACCTTAACAAAATGTTAGTAAAATAAACAGAGCAACATATTTGTAAACTAAAAGGCCAAAGCTATGTTAGGCTTTTCTAAAAATAAAAGGCCGATGCAGTACTGAAAAATAAAATGAAATTAATTGCATTAACTGTGAAGTGACGATAATCAAATGTGAATTTGACCAAGCCTTTTAAAGAGAAACTATCAACTAAAAAGAAACTGTAGTTCCTGCTTCTCACCCAAAAACACTAACCCAAAAACACTAAGGAGGACCACTGAAAAAGATTCTTCTAAGTCTCTCAGTAGTCAAATGAAATCACGGAGAGTTTTATCAGCAACTGGAAAACATATGCACAAAATCTTGCTTGAGAGTAAACATTTTCACACTTTATTTTTATTAATGCTAGACTTTTAAATGTTCACATTTTACATATGGTTACTTTTTGAATAATTCATTTTCATTAACCTTATTTGTGGTAAGTTGTACTAGAATTTTATTTTTAATATTAAAAACTAAAATATTTCTATTGGTATTTTACATTACACCAATGTTATGCTACTAATTTTTAGTTGAAATGTATTAAATAGTTTCAAAGTTTTTTTTATTCATTTCACTTCAATGAATCCTGAATACTTTAAATGAAATAAATACCAACCAAGATACCGATATTGCCAATTTTTCCCTTGTTTTATAATAACTATTCCAAGTCTTCAACTTTCAACTAGTTGTAGATCCTATTTAATGAATTAATATTTTCATATATATGTTGACAAAGTAAGTTTGAATTTTGTTTATAAATATTTTTAGAATACCATTAAATGGCGAATGATCTGGAAGCTACTAACTCTTTTCACTTGCCTTTCAAATCACACTTAACATGTGATCTTAAGATATGTTATCAAGTAAGAATTACATTATTATAAGCTAGAAATAAAATTACCTTCATTCAAATATCTAACTTCAAATAAAATTACCTTCTAGAAATAAAAAAACCTTCAGAGACAACCTCCAGGAACTTAATGTTTGCATTTCTTCCACCTTATCCCACTAGGGGGCATCAAAAAAGCATCTTTGTCCCCTTTTACCAATCTCTACAGGGGAGGAAGAAGCCTATGTCTTTTAAGACTGAATTGTGTAGTACAGAAAAGGAGACAGTACGGTAGGAAGGGCATTTGTTTGAAAGCAGAAAAGATAGGGAAACTCTCCCTCTTGCTGAGAAAATCTGGAGCTCAGTTTCTTCAGGGGTAAAACACATACTAACATGTATCTTGGCATGTGATTGTAACGATTAAGTAAAGTAACATTTCACACAAAAAGTGCTTCATATAAGGTGGAGAATAACAGTTCACAAACACAGAATTCAAAAGAAAGGAGAAATATTCAGAGATGGTAGCTCTATTTTCTCATTTTCTAACCAGCAGTAAACACATGCTAATTAGAATCACTAGGAATATTAGATAATTTATATCCCAAATGCAGAAGAAAACATATGACTTACATAAAACACTTCATTCAAGAAATAAATCATGCACTGGTGATTGTATTACAAATACATTTCTAATATTACAGATTGAGAATTCATGAGTTTGCTTACTTGGTAAGTAATACCTAGAGAGATGAAATTCTAATGCATAAACTACACACCCCTTTGATGAATTAAATCTTCCTTTTAAGAATTAAGCACCTCACCTAATCAGAACAGAGTCCCTAGTATAGCCACCATCATATTCCGTAGTTTCTTCTAGTGCTTGGAAATCTAGATTCTGAAAATTCAAGAAAATATGTCTTAATATATATACCATACCATTACAAACAATAAATCAATTGGATATTTTTGCAGACACTTTGCTTTCTTACCCGGCTTCCACATATAAGCAATTCAATTTCCTCTGGTCTGAATAAATACTTTAAGGGAGACTCATTGGTCACCATATGAAAACCTCTCCGAAAGGCTTTGAATTGTTTTTCTACTGATTTATTGAGAATGTAGTCAGAATAGAGATTGACAAATTCCTGCAGAAAACATTAACCACAAGAACTTCTTATAATATGCTATACAAATAAAACACAACAAGATACTGGGCTGCATATCCTTTTGTTTTTATTTTCCCAAAGAAGAACAATCAAGAATATTTTTAAAGATTGAAACCTTACACATACAAAGGAAAATACAGGTATACCTCAGAGATATTGTGGATCTGGTTTCGGCCCACCGCAATGAAGCGAGTATTGCAATAAAGTAAGTCAAATGAATTTTTTGGCTTCCCAGTGCATATAAAAGTTCTGATTATGTTATGCTGTAGTTTATTAAGTTTGTAATACAGAATACCTTAAAAAATGTACATACCTTAATTTTAAAAATACATTGCAAAAAAATGCTAAGCATCATTTGAGGTTTGAGTCATAATCACTGAGCACAGATCATAACAAATATAACAACGATGAAAAAGTTTGAAAAGTCTGAATTACCCAAGTGTAACAGAGACTCAGAGTGAGCAAATGCTATTTGAAAATGGTGCTGACGGACTTGCTCAAGACAGGGTTGCCATAAACCTTCTAATTTATGGGAAAAAAAAAAGCCAACATCTGCAAAGTGCAATAAAGTACAATAAAACAAGGTATGCCTGCAACTTCAACAATTTCACAGCTCTCTGCAATAGCCAATATTGAACTATAAAAAGACCATGTACATAAACTAAATATATATATAAGTTTCAATTTTGATATTAAGCAAGACTGAATATAAAAGCTGGACCTCAATACAATTTTGAGATCCCTCAACCAGGTGTGCAAACACAGAGACATTTAAATCGTATACATCTATTTATAAAAGCTAACAATGCAATGTACCTGATTTGAGCAAACCAGGAAGCCTCATGTTGTCTATGCTACAATATTTGAGAAGGGGCCTACTGTATCCAGTTCAGCAAAAATGCTGGTGTTTTACTTGATACGTAAGCTACTATATCAAATCATAAAAGGTAAATGCACTTTGTATCCTAACTTGAAGAATATTTTATCAAAAATTATGCTGTTATAAACATTTTTTTAAGGCTTACTATTTATTATCTTAATTTTCCTGTCATGTTCTGGATTATTCCCAATTTCCGAATGGATACAAAAAACCTATCTAATTCAACACTTTTCACTAGCGTATTTAAGTCACATATATATGTGTATACACTAAAGATAATGATCATTTGTTTGGAGAGAAGGATCTTAATCATTATGTCCCTGTTCCCTCTCCCATGTGGAGTCTAGTATCAGAAACACACCATTTCTTGCTTTTTTTACAGCCACACTATTTCATTCACTATCTCCTACTCCTGTCCTCTCTCTTAGAAAGGGCTTTAGTGCCCAACTACAGGCTCTCATACCAGCTTATATTCAAGATTTAGGAAATGGGCTATTTCATTTACAGGAATTTGATTACTTGATTTCTTGAGTTTTTGTATGAAGTAGTTGATACTTCTTTAAAAATTACAAGCATATATGCTTTAAAACTCTGTTAATAAAGAGACAAAGACAATGATGGTATTAAAACACTTATTACCTTCCTGTTTTCATTCGTAATTGGAATTTTATCACCATTTTCCTTTAGATCATACATCATGGGATTACCAAAGAGGTCTGTCTGAGATATCTGGAAAGTGATCATCATGTCATCTTCCACATTTCCTTCATATTCCAATAAATCTTTTAAACTCTGATATAGGACCTAACAACCAGAAATGAAAAATTAGGTTACCACAATACTATAAAATACAGTAATTTGTATCCCTCTTCTACGGAAGAAAACAAAAACAAAAACAAAAACAAAAAAACCTGACAGAACTAAAGCATAGAAAGCATTTTCTCTGTCCCCCAAATAGTTTATGATACAGAAAGACTGACAGATACTGATCTGTCTAATTCTCTGCTGAGAAAACCAGAGCGTCAATTTAGCAATGGATTTTTCACTATACTCTATGAGAGAACCTCAGAGGTTTCTCAGTGAGGGAGGGGGTAGAGAGAGAAACAGAAGTACTAACTGTAGCCACCAAAACCCCTCTCCAGAGCAGCTCTGATTTCACCTGGCAATCTCATGTGGCGTCTTTAAAAAACAAAAAACACCTAAAACCCCAAATCCAAAATGACATGTTAAAACAAAACTCATTCCTACAGAATCAATCCTACAAAACTTGCCTGCTGACAGTTATACTAAATTTCCCCTTTGAGTTTTTAAGTGTTCGTGGTACTTCAACAGATTAAAATGACTTTATCTCACTAAGCATAAATATTAATAAAAATGATTTCAAATGAAAACTAATTTTTTACATAAATTAAACTTTAGTTTTGCTTTTAAATAAAATCTAAACATAAAATAAAAAATTACAGACTTACAGGGTGAGAATCTCCTAGGTCACGAAAAGTTCCTTTTTTCCCCATTAGCTTCCTGTAGACAACCATGGGAAAATGTACATCCAGTATACAGTTATTGTAAATAGCCAGACCCAGCACTATGCCAATCAGAGTGAACTGACCCTCAGTTTCAAAAGAGGATGGATTAAACCAAAACAATTTTGTAGATTCATCATATGTGAACATACCTATAAAAAATGATTTTAAAAAATATATTACTTTTATATTTTATTAAATATCAATGAATACAAATATAAAATTACACAAACTTATATGTAGTAAGTGTACAAAGTTTTTTCTCTATTACATTAACACTTGAGAGACCAAAGCTCATACATGATTGTTATAAATTGTGGCAAATGGTAGTATGTCATTTTAAGAAGCCATGGAAACAAACCAGTAAGAAATTCTGGCTGCATTTTCCAAGAAGGTAGGGAAAATGTTCATTAAAGTTCTCTAATTGTCTACTAATACAAATGATAACTTAATTTGTATTGATACTTTATCCACTGAATGGTTGAAAATAAATGCAAAACCAAAAGAAAAAAAAGCTTTATTAAAACATATTTAATCTACATGTGATTTCAAAAAATAGTTTTGAATTTCATCAAAGAAAAGTTTTTGTTTTTTGAAAACTGCAATGATCCCATGAGGTTTTTTTTAGCACCTTTCAAACAGTCAGATGAAGCCACGTACATAAGCTTAAATAAGTTTGATGAACTTAGATTATATCCCAAACCCAAAGCTATTAATACACACATTAATTGTGAGCCAATAAATAAAAGTAGTTTGCATTTATAGTCTTATTTCAATTTTACATGGTCTTCACTATTCAAAACCCAAGCTTAGAAATCTTTTTTGTATCATTCATTTTAAAAACTAGGAATGTTTGGTTTTACCTATCTGAATACCATTACTAAGGCAGAATTATTTTCTTCCCTTTAGACAAACAGAGTATCTAAGGAAAAGGTTACATGGTATTTTATGAATTTATGACTTTTCTCACTTTGCTAAAATGTTTTTCAATTGCTACTGTGCAACTGAATGAAAATATCTTAAGAATTAGGTCTGAGGGGCGCCGGCATGGCTCAGTCCATTAAGAGACTGCCTTAGGCTCAGGTCATGATCCCAGAGTCCTGGGATCAAGCCCCACACTGGTTCTCTGCTCGGCAGGGAGCCTGCTTCCCCCTCTCACACTCCCCTTGCTTGCCTTGCTCTCTGTTTCTGTCAAATAAAATCTTAATTAAAAAAACAAAAAAACAAAAACTTAGTTCTGAAAAAAGGGGCAACGTCCAAAAGCACAAGCTTTAGAAATCAGTATGACACATAAATACATTCATTTATATGATTTTTAAAAGCTTTAAAAATGTTTTGTTTTGTTTTTTAAGATTTTATTTATTTATTTGAGAAAGAGACAGTGAGAGAGAGCATGAGCAAGGAGAAGGTCAGAGGGAGAAGCAGACTCCCCATGGAGCTGGGAGCCCGATGTGGGACTCGATCCTGGAACTCCGGGATCATGACCTGAGCCGAAGGCAGTCATCCAACCAACTGAGCCACCCAGGCGTCCCTGTTTTTTTTTTTTTTTATTTTTATATTTAGTTTAAGTTCAATACAAAAGGAACTGTAAAGTGTTTCCTGGATCATCAAAGTATAAAGTAAGCAATGACATTTTTTTAATGAAGTTAATGTTCATGAAGTAAAAGTGAAAATTATCCAATTCTCACCTGAATTTCAGTTTAGATCCAAACATTTTTTATCAAGAACAGTAAAAAATTATTATAATTAATAAATAAATTTGATGAAATATCACAAATGTATGTCTCCTTGGTCTCAAGAGCAATAATCTACAAATTAATCAGAATATAAATTACAGAGGCCATTACTCTCATCTGTGTTATGAAAGATTATAATTTTAACGTTCAAAGTGATTCCATTTTGGGCACATTTTTGCCAGTCCCTGGAAGAAATGCACCATAAAAAGTGGCTCTTCTAAAATATTCATTTCTGATAGTTTTAACTACTATCATTTCAATTACCTTACAATCAAGTGTAACTATTAAATGCTGTGTTTTTCTCTTGAAAGTATTTCTGCATATAATGTTAGTATGCTTTACAGCCGATGCTTAACGTGTCGAGACACAAAGGAACCCAGAGCTAAGGTTTACCAAACCTAAGAAGATCACAAATTAATTTTCTTTCAAAAAAAGGCATGGTTTTAGGTGTCTTGATTTACTTTGAGCAAATTACGTGGAAATTACATAGGCTTCTGATTAATAAACATTAGCTAAAGTAGTCTTAACTGCATACATGTCATGAATTCAAATGTCTACTTCCATTTACATGTATGTATATATATTACCAACTAAGAATAACAGAAAAGTCAATTCAATGTACATACTGAGAATCAACAAGCTCAATTTTCAAAGCTTAATGGAAATGATATATGCATTATTCTATGTCACATTCTTCACAATTCTGACAGTACATGTAATAGAATTCTTTTCCTGTAACTGTCATGCATTCAGTTGTAAAAATAAGCAAACCTAGTAACCAAGTTAGTGGTTATATTACAGAACTACACAGTCCTATACTAAACAGTTCAGAACTACACAGTTAAAAATACAATCCAAGATGCTACAGTCTTTTACCAGCTCTACTTTACCCACTTTTATCAGTAAAACTCAAATCCTTCACTTTCAAACTGACATATATAGATCAGTTTTTCCTGAACTGTTCAATAAAAAACATTTCTGGGAGGCAAATGTGGGGTGGGAAAGATTTCTGGAGTTTAAAGCGTTTGGGAAAACAATGTAATATTACGCCCCATGAAATCCTGTAGCAAATAAAACCTAATTAATTTGATACCAGTCAGGGTTTCCAAACTTTTGAGCATGATACACTTGTGAGACATTCTCAATATTCTTCAGACCACTGTTTGAAATTCTTATTTCAGAAATGCTGTGAGTTTGACGAATGTTTAGAATTAAAAGAGCAAGATATCTTTCAGTTGTTCTAATGTACCATTCTAAAGTGTTTTCAGTTTATTTAACTACGAGATAATGTCCTGTAGTAAAATATTTGGCTAAGTAATCTAAATAAGAACTTGAGTAAATGAGTGATGCAAATCAGTACTCCAAACCCACAAGTTCAGTCATTAACCGTGACTCTAGGAAATCCACATCAAAACCTATTACTGTTCTTTGTAACAGAATATTTATAAACCCTCATAAACAAACCTTTAATTCAAAAGATATGACATCATGATCACATCACTGAAATATTTACCAATATCTGGATTGAAGATTTCCTCCACAACCAGCTGAAAAAATTCTTTGGAAACGCCTCCCTCATCAACTCCTTGTTCTCCTTCAAATTCCACATACAACTGTTTCTTCAAGTCTGCAGGATTTTCCATAGCGATCATCTCTAGCTAATGAGTGAAAAGATAAAGTGAAAAGAAGATGACTGCCAGTTTAAGAATGAAAGCAAAATAAAAATAAGGAGAAGCAAAAAATAAAAACCAGGAGTAGGGCTATAGAGCAAATAAAAAATACTGACTTTTGGTCCGTTTTAAATGGAAACAGGAAGCAAACTGGTAAAAAGCCAGTAAAGGCAAAGATTCAGTCTCACAGATATTAGAAAAAAATAGGACAGTAAAGAAACCAGCACAGATTTATAAAAAGGTTACTTTCTCACTACGGATTTGTTATGAAATTAACATATAGTAGAAAATTAAAAGGTTGTTTTTTTTTTTTTTTTTTTTTTTGTTACTTCTGTATAACAAACCTGGGTTGTAAGGTTAGGATGTGAAAAGAAGTCTTGACAGCCAAATACATACGATACTACTCAAACTAAATCATTTCAACAAAAACAATGGAGTATAAAAGTTTGGCTTCAAATTTGTTCACTAGTAGTTCTATATGTTTAATAGAACAGAAACTAAGAAAACAATTTCAACTAAGAGAAAAAAACACCCTGAATAAATAGGGAAACAATTTATGGTCTCTTATAGTACTTAGTATAAATTTCCACTTTTTATTTGATCACAGCACATCTCATATACACTTTTTTTTGGAAGCAGATGAGACATACGCTTGCTCATATCCTTACTCCTTATTTCTTACTAACAAGTTATCAAACCCTAGTATCTAGCATTTTTTAACTATAAATCTTTACCAGATACTTCTTTGTATTTACAGAATAATATACATAGTAACTGATCTTAGTCATTAAGAAATTAATCTGAAAATCCATACTAGATTCTAATGTGAAATTATACTGCATTTTTTTTTAATGTATCTGAGATTTACTAAGAGCTTGCCTGATTTTTCACCCACCTTATTTGCTACATTGACTTTAAATGCCGTTTGGCTGTTAAAAAAAAATTTGAATTTGCCAAAACAGAATATTTAATAAGGGTGTTCAAGTAACTGCAACTATTCCAACTAGAATTTTAAAAATGGTTTTGAGCAATTCAAACATCAACAAAGTAACTTTACTACAGTCCTAAAGTAATGACTTTAGGTAACAGCACTAGTTTGAACATTCTAGCATGTCTATAAAAAATAAAATTTCCTAGTCATAAATCAAGCCAGTTGCCCTAGATCAATGTTTTTCAAACAGCCAATTGAAACTCCCTAGTGAGTAGCCTAGTCCATTCATTTAGCAGTTTAAAACCAACAATGGGAGGAAAAACTCAGAACGTATTCCATATAGTAATGGTATCTACTGTTCTCTGAAACTTCTATTTCAATTATATGTAGAGACAGATATGCACGTGTACACCTAATGCTATGCAAAATATCTTACTTGGGACTCAGTCAAAAACATTTTAAGAACAAAGGCTGAAATGATCTCTTAGATACCTTCACCTTTTGGATTCTATAATTCTGTGAATTTTGGATCTTTAGCTTTAAGAAATGTGCTGCACAACAGTGGTCTTTAGTATTTACAAAATCATTTTTATGCCAAGTTATATTAGGATAACTTATTTTTGAGAGAAAGTGTAGTGGAGACTGAGACAGAATACTCTGTACTAGTTCCAACTATCACTTAACTTTAAAAATTTAAATTTTAGCAAGCGACTCAGGTAAGCCTCAGTTTCCTCATCTGCAAAGAAAAAAAAGGAATAGTACTCTTCATACTGAAAAGATGTGAAGGCTTAATAAAAATATATAGCAAAGAGTTCTAGAATGGGCAATATTAAGGAAACATATCATGTTGCAACCTTTTAAAACAACTTTGATCTTTGAACAAAAGATTCACAAAATTTGGTGTTATAGCCTTGTCCCAAGTTTTGAAAATAACCTTGGGGAAAAATAGTTCCAGTTGGAAACCTGTTTCAAGTCACAGAAAATAAAGAATGCTGAGAACTAAATTAGAATTATCAGCTCCAATGTGGTTTACCCATCACGCCAACATCCCATATTGCCATGGAACGCATTCCTAGTTTCCTTCTTCCAGTTCCCACCTGCCTAGGTGTTAAAGGAATATAAGTCAATGTTTATATATGCCCTTATAACACAAAGACAAACCTGCTTATAATCAAAAGTATAATGCATTCCAAGGTGAAAAGAATTATCTGATATTTAAATTATGCTTCCTATAGTTCTTCCTCAGTAACATTCATAAATGAGAGCAGACTCCATTATTAATGTGACTGTATCTTTTAAAGGATTTGGTGGTGTTTCTACAGAATTCTGAGACCATGTGCTGCCATCTTAGCTCCACCAGAGACACTTTATATGACACTGAAACAAATTTATCTTCATTCTTAATATTAAATATTACTGTATGTCCGTCTCCACTGAGTGCCAAAATAATTCAACGTCATGTTCTATAATTGTAATTGTAAACATATAGCTTTATCTTTTTTAGTTTCATCTTTGAAATGAGAACACTATTTTAAGAAGAAATAAACAGATTATTAGATGAATTATTAGATTATTAGGCAAATTCCCTGTACAACAATGCATTATAGCACTAGCTTTTGTTGCTATTGTTACTTTAACTTGTATGGGAAATTTTTTCAGGCTTGCCTGAAAACCGAACAAACCAGACATTACAGAAAAAATATTCCAGTAAAAATAACACAACAATATATAGCACTTACATGCCAGGGGACTATTCTAAGCACTTCACATACATCAATTCATTTCACTTTCACAACCTTATGTGGCCAGTAATTTCAAGCTCATTTTACAGATGAAGACCCCAAAGTAATAAGAGATTCAGTAACTTGCTTCCAGTATTAGTAAATGGTAGGACAGAGCTCTAATTCAGTCACCAAGTTCTTAAATACTATTATGCCTTCCTGCTCTCTGCAATGACTACCAAGTAACTTATTTTCTTCCTTGTGCTTTTCTATATTTTTAAGTATTTTTAAAAAAATAAACATCTATTTTATAATCAGGATGTTAAATGCAAGTATGTAAAAATAATGGTTTGAAAAACAGGTGGCAAATGAACTCTGCAGGCAAAAATTTCCCATTATTATCTATATTAGATTATCATTATCAGGTATATATTAAGGGGCTCTGGAATACTTTTATCATTTATGTATACATGGGTAGCCTACCTTTAAATAACAATTTTTACTTTTAATTTTAACATAAAATTTACCAGTTATCATTTTGACAAAGACTATTATGAAGTAACACACTGCATATGTTTTATTTTTCTTAAAACAACTTCTGACCCATTGAATTGAATGGTAAAGGTGTTATCACTTTCTGTAATATATACATACCATTTAGAACAGAATTTTCACAATCAAAAGCTGTCCTGAATGCAGTAGGATATGTGGAAACTTAAATGTCAGTGAACATTTATTCTGAAAAGGAGAATTTGTATGTATCCCTGAACAGAAATCACTTAGTATACAGACCTGTGTTTTTATATATAGAATTTCTTAAAGGAAGGTATGTTAATTTAATATGGAGACTGGCAAAAGACAGATTTTTGGGGAAAAATAAACAAAAATAGACTGGACATAATGACATCTACCTCTTCCTTATATGACTTCCTCTTCTTACTAAGACTCTTGATTTCATCAATTGTTGGACAAAACGATTTTCAATTTCTGAACTTTTAATTGGCCATGATGATGAAATCCTGGAGAGATCATTTTTAAAAAATTGATCTGGTATCAAAGCATTCCCAGAATACCTAGGTAGGATGACATCTTAATAATAAAAATATCATATTTGCCAGATTTACAAGAGTCAAAAGGAAAACCCCATCCTTTAAAATCTTACAGTATTCTGGGCTATTACTCATGATAAAGTCATCTTTATCCATAATTGAAAAAAATGCCTTAATGGTAAAGGTATTTAAGTAGTAGTAGTAGTAGTCACATAAAATAGACCTAACACTTAAGAAAACCTAGGATCTCTAAGAATGGCTGGCTTAAGCAACTTCATTCAACTTAACTAGATTCTATGGTTAAACACTTTGTTTACCTTTAAGATACTGGCTACAGTAAGATCTTTAGATTATCCAAATATATTTAATTTTTTTCAATTCTCTAAAACAGATGAAGGAAAGTTTTTTATATCTTATGTATAAAGTTTAGATGTTTGGGTAACAGTCATATCATATAATCACATCTGCTTTTGAGACCAGGAACCCTGACTTCTACTTCCAATTCTGCCATTAATTTCTGTAGGCCAGAATTTCTTTTTTCTCACATATAAAGCTAAGGAGTTTGACAAATTTCATTGTTTTAGATTATTACAGGATCCTGAGAATCTAAGTAGATCTACTTAATTCTTTTAATCTCCTTTGAGAGCATTAAATTAGGCATGAAGTTCTTCATTTCATTTAGAATAAATTGTAAGAAACAATAATGATCACTGCATTGAGCACAATATAGTGAATGTATAAGACACAATTAATCATACTCAGAGCAGCACAGGATAATCTTATTCTTAAAGCACTATAGGTCAATTATTAAATAAAAGAACCAAGTTTTATATCAATAATAACCAAGGATATTTGCCAAGGAAAATGGTAGGGATTAGGACAGATAGCACTGTTAGAGCCCAGAAAAAAATGATTTTTTTTAGAAGGGATTGAGCAGAACCAATTGGTAGTGGGGCTATTTATTTGTGTCTATCACTTTGATCTGACTAGTTCATATTTTGGACTCTCCTATACAGTTCTCCATTTCAGCCATTCCTTTCGGTCTTTAGATCCCTACACGGAATTCTAGGATTCCCTGACTAATCTGAACCAAGTCACACACCAACATCAATTCTTACTCTAAACCTGCTATTTTCATCATCCTCTCAAAGACTGCCAGTTTCCTAAATGTAGAACTGTATAGAAATATGGCCTCAATAAATATGTATCTATAAACTATACCAATAGCCATCTTTCCCAAATACTGGTTTGCAGTATGACTTTATCAGAGTATCTGGGGGCACTGCCAGAAATATAATTCCTAGGCTCTACAATGAACTCCCAGTCTGAATCTCTAGATGGTAGAACCTTGGATTTTTTTTTTTTTAAACATTATTTCCTGTTCAGATGGGAAGACAGTTTGGGGTATGTCACAGATGGCAATATTGTCTTCCATGATACTCCATCCTCTACTAACATAATCTCTTAAAATAAAAAATAATGAAAATAAATGTTCAGACCCTTTTCCTTTGGAAATGCTTTGTCTAAGAAAAATGACAAATTATCTACTTTTAAAGAATACACAAATAGATAAATGTTATTAGTAAAATATAGTAAAAGCCTATCATGATTTGGATTGTTAATTCAAGTGAGCTCAAAAGTATCACTGTATTATTTTCTAAGAAACAACAACAACATATAGTAAAAATAAGTCCAGGGAGAAATATTCCAATAATTTGAAGTGTGGGGTAGTCCTTAAATGATTCTGAGACACCTACTTGTGAAAAGGCAACTTATATTTTACCACACTTCATTGATTCTAAAATTCATTTTTTTCCACATTTTAACATCTCTGAAATCAGGATATACCATAAAACTGGTAGCATCTCAAGACAATTGGCAGCATATTTTCCTACTACTAAAAGTGGTAAGAAAATAACCGTGTGTCCTACAATCAACAGTATCTAAGTTTCAATACACTAATTCTTCAGCTGTCATCAAAGGCAACTCCTCTAGGGGCACCTGGGTGCAGCTGTCATCAAAAATAGTTCCTCAAAGGGCTCCTAGGTACAGCTGTCATCAAAGACAGTTCCGCTAGGGGCGCCTGGGTGGCAGAGCTGGTCGTGGATCCAACTCTTAGTGTGGGCTCAAGTCATGATCTCAAGCTCTGCATTGGGCTCTGCATGGAGTCCACTTGAGATTCTCTTTCCCTTCACCTCTGCCTGTACCACTCATGCTCGCTCGCTCTCTCTCCTAAATAAGTAAATCTTAAAACAAAAACCCAGGTCCTCTGAATACTCGTTAGTAAATAATTGGCTCGTGTGATATGAAATAAAGTGAGGAACAGAGTTTTCTTTAAAAATAAATAAATAAATAAATCTGTAATTATTAACGGAAGGTACTACTCCTCCCTTTTCCACCATGCCAGCCAGTCTTACGATTAATAACTAAAAAATAAGACCTAACAGAAAACATACTCAAGTGTGTCATATATGTAGTCATTATTTTCTGGGCCTCATTTGTAGACGAATGAGTAGATGGAACTCCAAGGCTCCTTTCAGCTCTTAAAGTCTACAATTCTGTAACCTTAATTATTCAAATACTAATACTGAGCCCAACAAATTTTTCATTTCCTCTTCTCTTCCCAACCCCACTCTGTAGTTCAAATTAGCAGGTCATAAAAAGTAGTAAGTTTTTTGTTTTTTTGTCAAATTGTTACAGAAGAATAAGGCTTTAAAAAAGCAAAAGTAGATCCTTGAGGAATAAGATGTTAAACATCCATCAGTACTTTGAGAGTTCAGCTGAGAGGATGACCTTAAACTACTTTTTGTTGTAAACCTTTTTGTTACTAAAATACTATGACTTTATCATAATCAGACCACTATGAGTATTTTTTAAAAATAGGAGTCTCGGGGCGCCTGGGTGGCTCAGTGGGTTAAAGCCTCTCTGCCTTCAGCTCAGGTCATGATCTCAGGGTCTTAGGATCGAGCCCTGCATCAGGCTCTCTGCTCAGCAGGGAGCCTGCTTTCCCCTCTCTCTCTGCCTACTTGTGATCTCTCTCTGTCAAAAAAAAAAAAAAAAAAAAAAGAGTCTTAATTTTACTAACTCACATGGCCTACTATGATTTTTTTTCCCTAACATTTTCACATTGTTATTTTTAAAAAAGAAAAAAGGAAAAAAGAGCAAAATTTGTTTAGTATGAGCATTTAGTATGAGCATTTAGCACTAAGAAGATTCTCAGTGGTCATAATTCATCTTTACATCTCTAATGATTAGCAAAATGCCTCACACACAAGATTTCTGAAGCAAACTGCTTTTGTGGACTTGTAATATTCATGTACAGATATTATCTAGTGAATCCCGATTTAAAATCGGTCAAATTGTAATATTCAGGTTTGACAGAATTAAGAATTCACTTAAAAAAAAAAAACAGTATAATTAAGAAGTTCAGAGTTCTACCCTTAAAACCCTCTTTTAAAAAAGACCTTAAAACCAAAATGACTGTTTCCTCAAAATTCTAGATGATAAAAGAAGTATACAACAAGTACTTAAACTTTTCTAAGTTCTTAGCCTTACTAAGAGGGGGAGATGATGGAAAACGAGGTAGGGGAAGGAAAATAAGGTTGGGTAGATTTCTTAGCTGACGGCAGGTAAGGAAGGTAGACAATTCTTTTTATTTCTAACTCTGATTAATCTTATGAAGAGTAGTTCCATTGTTTTTTTAAATCAGGCAAGGCATAGCTTTTACTGGAAATAGATAAAAGGATCCCAACCGAAGAAGCCAAATATAAAATGCATGGTCTTAGGATTTACAGTTCTGATCTAACAATCGAAATTCAAAGATAGACGTCAATGTACTTTCCACAAAACATCACTCAACGTCCTTATATGATACCCCATCATTCTGCCGACCTACATAAAAGTTGGGGCTGCCTGATAATTATATTAGTTATTTATGTAGCTCAAAACTACAAGAGTGTAATAAAAAGAACACCAGAAAGCAAGCAATGATAATTACTCCAAACAACTAATGCCTTTCTGCCTCTGTTGAAAAACTGCTTGAGTTGACTAAGGCAGAATCTCTCCTCAACACTAGAAATATATTTGGTGTTCTTAAAAACCAGTTAACAAACAGAAGAGGCACAAAATCTCTGCAACTTTCAAATTTCTGAGATATCAAACAACTCTTTCCATTGGTTTAGTTTTATGAATACTCAGATTTAGACAAATCCATCCTAAAACTAAAATACATTTTAAAATAAGTATCACTATTTCCTAGTTTTGTCGTGAATTCTTATCTTTTATTAGTATGGAAGGCTGACTGTACCTTAATTTTACCTGACATCAAATTTTACTTGAAGTTGTTTAAAAACAAAACAAAACAAAACTAGTAATGAAGGGTGTATGTAATATCATAAATAAAACTCTGTGGTAAAGGGGGTGGCGCCTGGCTAGTACAGCATGAGACTCTTCATCGTGGGAGTTTTGAGTTCTAACCCTATGTTGGGTGTAGAGATTACTTAAAAGAAAAACTTTAAAAAAAAACACACACACACACAAAAATAACCTGTGATAAAGCACCCTAGGACAAATGAAAATTTTGGTACTTGATTGGCAATTGGTTTTTGTCTTCTGCCCAGGCCTGCATTCTTAAATGGGGGCACTAAAATTCTTACTTTTTGTGGAGGCAAGCAATTAACAAAAGGCAATCTGGAGAAACAGGAAGTTGGAAGGTGGGTATTTGAGTTCCTAATATTCTCCCAGCTCAATCTCCCTGGATTGGGTTGATGATAAAAAGCACCATTAATTTCAAGATTCCTGGAGTTTCAACCAACTCCAAGATACTTAAGTGGTTAAGAAAATATCACAATAAGGCAGTGCTATACAAGGCATTCTGAGTGATCCAGCAGGAACTCTTACTAGCAGCACGCACCAAACTGCCCAGATCACTTCACCTTCACGATAACATAACTCTGAATTTTACATCATGGAATTTCTGGATACCACTTATTATTTCATGGTATGATTTTATTGTTTCACTCTTCCCAGTTAAGATTTGACATTCATACGTATTAGTGGGTATCTCCACATCCCCCTTGTTCCTGTGCTTTGGTCCTTTCCCAACATCCACTTGTCTTCTGAATAGAGAAGAAATTTTTGGAGTAATTTGTCAATATTTGGAAAATCTATTCATTTTCAAATAGAGAGTGTGATCATTATTCGAGACAACCAATACTTTGTGGGACACATTTATAAATTTGGACAGGAACAAAAGAATAGTATTTACAACTTATAATACAAAAACATCCATATATTCCTATACCATATAATGCCATATATTTTTCAAGTGAATGCACTGAACTGTATTACAATCTCCCCAATATTAGGTATTTATTCTAGTACTAATTTTTAAGCATAAGCCCAACTTACCCGGACAAGTGCATCATCTATGATATGGTCACGTCTGACTTTGAGTCTCAAATACGGATTCAACTGCTGTCCTTGAACTAAGCTGTAGAGAACAGTGATTCTTCGTTCACTGTACATGCGAATTCTATTGTCATAATATAATCCCAAATTCTTTGTGACAGCATTCAATATAAAGGGACATGTCATGAAAGAGAATTTGTTCTCTGTTTCTACTTTGAAAAAAGTATAATCTTTATCCATTTCTAGAACATCATTCAGTGGTTCATTAATAAACTCTTCAAAAGGGATAAGTGGTTTTCGACAATCCAGAGTTTTAACACCAAGTTCAGTTTCCAGGGGGTCCACTCGAGGACCTTTCTTGTTTCTTCTTTCCTCTCCCAAAAGCTCCTGAAGTGTCAATTCACTGGACTCAGGGATGGGCTCTTCATCATCTTCTTCATTATGATTTGTGTCCACTTCCCCACCCACTACATTTGCATAGTAAACCATTTTCAAGCACTTTGAAGCAGCAACAATAGCATCATCATCATTCACTAGATTCCGACTGTTAAATTCATTGCTTATGACTTTGTAAGTAATAAGTTGCTGAAATGTTTCCATCATTCTACGAATCTGGTCTGCACTGTATTTAGACCACAGTCTAACCAATTTTCCTTGGGCGGCGAGGGGTAGCTTACTCATTGCTTTGCAAAATAAAGGCAAAGCCATTTCCAGATATTCAGGACTGTGGAGATTTCTATTCTCCATTACAATAATGAATAAATTCAGATAATTAGGATCTCGAGAGTATACATTGTGATACGTCAAGTCACATTCCACATTAGGTGACAAATACACAAGTGCATTGAGAAAAGCAGTTTCTATTTTTTCATTAGAGAGTAATCTGGTGTAGACCCTTCTAATGGCCTCAATATCCACAGACACATCATCAGGGCCTAATTTTTGTAAGTTGTTATCGCCTTGTGAACTATCACTTATCCTTGAAGAAGATGCTTCTGAATCTTCTTCCATAGCAGCAGCAGAACATGCAGCTTTTTCCTTTTCATCTTCATCTTTGTCTTCATCCTTTCCTTGAAGAGATTTAAGTTCTTCCTTGGTGTGTTGTTTGACTTTCCGAAAGCTCTGTACCAATGCCTCAGCACTAGAAAAAACTCTTCCAATAACACGGATTAAAGGGGAATAATCCTCTCTCTCTCTACATAATTCAAGAATTTCATATACCGTCTCTTCTGTTAGGTAAGTCACATCTAAAAAAATTAGAAAGAAAAAGGAGAACATTTATTTTTATAAGTATGTTTAGCTTGTCTTAAGTTCTAGTGCAAAGTAAAATAGCCATTTTGTACTCAATACCATTTATGACTTACAACTCTTTTAAAACATTTCTAATACTTAGATTCAACAAACAAAACAGATTTACTTATTTTTGTCAATGAACTACTATAATGGCCAACAACCTCACCCATTCTTTGTACATTCTTTCAATAATATGTAGCTTTTAATGAGCTCAAACTCTTTCACAATCACAGTGGAAATTAACATGCAGCTTTAACTTATAAATATGAACCAAGACAATCATGTATTGATTTGATTCATCACAATACACATCTTAAACCTTATTTTAGAGCAGAAACACATTCTTCTGAGAGGTTTCTTTCTTATTTCACTCTTCCCAAAAGACTGAGGCAAAGTCAAGAAAGATTCTTTGAGCATCCTCTTTGGGAAACAGCCCTTGTCTAAGTTGTATCTTAAAATCAAACTGGTTCCTTCTGAGTCTTTTCAGTTTTTCCAGGGTGGTCATTCCATGGGTGATTGAGAAAAATTACTACACCATTTCTCATAAGATCTCAAGCTGACAAACAATGCCATCTGTAGCCAGGAATCAGGTTGGAATAAACAGGAAATAGTGACAAGAGTAATAAAAAATTGCGTGGTAGAAGGCAACTTAGAAGCAACAAGTGAAAACAGATTACTATGTAGTCGCCAGAATCTTTTTCCTCTCCTTTCTGGGCAGATTTGGATCATATCTCCCAGCTTTCCCAGGTTTTTGAGGTTAAGTGCTACTTTCAGGCCAAGGCTTTTCCTTCTGGCTAAATGCGAGGACGTTCCCAGGATGCTTGGGAAGCCATGTGCTGAAGATTTACAATGACACTACAGCAGCATTTCTGAATGATTATGTGATGTGGAACTTTGCCAACCTAGAATATCATGGCTATTAGAGGACCTAGAAATAAATTTCCACTTTGTTTAATAAGCTAGTGCTTTTTCTGGTATATACTTAATATCACAGTCTAGTTGATCCTTACTAATATAGAAAGAAGGTTTTCACCTTTCCCCACCTTGCCGTCAAAGTCTTTAAAACACCAGCAGACTGTCTAAATTATGCTTAAACCTTCTTGGTACTTTTCTAGTGCTAAAAATTTTATAGGTCAGATGAGCTGATTGGTTTTTTTGCAGACTGCATTACCATTATTACCATTATTTTTGCAGTCTGTATTATTCAAATCCAAGGGAATTTTATTATGTTTTTCTATAACATCCATGAAACTGCATGATCAAGAAACAATCCTTTGTAAGAGGCAAAAATGACAGGAGGCAATGAAAGGCTAGACCAAATATCAATTTATTACACATTTTCAGAGTTATACTAATGTTAACAAGTTGAAATTCCAATGAAATCACAGAAGAAACAAGAATGAAAAGAACATTTCAAGGATTTTTGAGATAAAAATCTCTGGAAGAAGGGACTACTACAGGGATGAAAGAGTCTATAGCAGTTTGCTGGTATGCATTTTACTTCCCTCTCACATCTGTCTCTAAATAGTAGCTCAGACCTCCATTATCACTTTAAGTACTTTTATATTTGCTCTTTTTATATTTGCCAGAGAATACTCTTTCAAACAAAAACCAGATAAACATATGGCACTAATTCTCTTCACCAACAAAATATAAATCTATACATATATCCCCTTGAAAGGAATGAAGAGTTAAGTTTGGAAATTATGGAATGCATAAGCATTCCACTCCCAAAATGGAATGCCACTGAATGAAACACATTAGAACAAAAAAGGAAAACTCCATGTGTGTTCCCTCTTATGCTTTGCTTACTCACACACACAAAAAAGAATTTTAACATGCTGTTTTCTAAAACTCCAAGTTGTCATCTTTTACTCAAATGTTAATTTATTTCATCAGTTTCATATGAGCTTTCATAACATTTAACTCTTTCATAGAAAGCACTGAATACAGTGATTGAAGAGGAAAACCACGTAAAACATTCCAACTCCAAGAGTAATAGATCTCAATGCTTGGAGACATCATACAATTGACAACTCAGATTCAATACCTCAAATAATAAACTCCCTGGTACTTACCATGAGTTTCAATTTAAAAAAACAAGGAAAAAATCCAACATTTTAAAAGTTAAAATTAACAGCTCTGATGTACTCACTCTCATGATCTGTTCTCAAAAGAAAAACAAAAACAAAAAAACCCCACCTTTCATTTTCTCACTTATAATCTGAGATAAGCAAAATAATCACAAAATTTCACCTTACCAAAGCTAAGAAATATACCTCAACAACACTATTTTTCTCTTATGACTTGCATGAATATCAGGCAACTGGGGATAAAATAAACTGTTTTAATATTCAAATAAGAACATAAATGATTACATTTCACATGAAAATATAGAAATAAAAACATTCTGACCCTATAGTCAAACAACCTCATTTAAAAAAAGTAAAAATATCCTTTAAACATTAGATAATTGAATTTCACTTTACAAATCAACTATATAACCTATTCTAAAAGCTAAAGGAAGAATAATGCTCTGAGCAAAGATAATTAAAAACACTTTAAAGTTCCATGTTACTTATATGTACATGTGTGCTTTTTGTGATCCCTAAAGACTATCACACATATCTGCTATTGCTCAAAGTATTCAAATGTTAGTCGACAGCTAAGACTAACCAATTACTAAAAGGAAATGAAACCATTAATGATCGACCAAAGGACATAATTTTCAACTGATATAAAGATGTCTACATTCAATGCTGGATAGTACCCCCAGAGTTTTGTGTCCTGAGTTATCCTAATTTAGTTCACATGAATACGGCAACTTATATTTTATACTGAGATTATTTATAACTCCAAATTAGAATTATTAATCATTCAGTATCTAAAAGGTGATCTTATGAAACTCTGGTCTTCCTCTAACTCTCTAATATACCTGGACAGACACTGTAGGCTGGCAAACTCCAAATCTATTCACCCCTCTTCTCTGACATGCCATCATATAACAGAAACTATAAAAACTAAACACTAGTATTCTAATCCTCATTTGTACCTGGGGGATGACATGTGGCACAGGTCTGCCAATTACCTAAGTGCAAGTCCACTGATGCACCTCTGAAAGTTTATTTTCCTGATAAACGGGGTCAAACATGATTAACTCATTATGAGTGCAACAGAATCGCCTAATTTTTTATTAATATATCAAATAAGCTAATAACATCTTCAAATTATTTAAGCATAAGCTATACATGTCTCTACAAATTATAAAATACTGTCCTTCAAATTAAAAAGTAAAAAGCAATGTTTACTAATATTTCCAAGACCATTTTCCATAAGGCAGTACTATACAAGCCAATAAAAAACACCATCAAATTGTGGAAGAAATAAAAATGGAGCACCCCAAATAGTCTCTGCATTTTGAATAAACTATTCAGATACATTATTTTACAGGAAAGATATATTTTGTCTATTAATTTTATGGAGATTATATTTGTAAAATATAGTACACTATAATAAAAGTCTAAATATACCAAGGAAGTGGCAGGCCTGTCAACAAATACTTAATTGAAGCAGAGGATAATTTTAGAGGCACAGAGGTAATTCAATCTTCATTGTGGCAAATGGACTCATATACATATACATAAAATTTCTACCTCTTTTAATATTTGTTTCACAAAGACAAGATACATGCAAATGATCATTAAATGAACAACTATAAAAGTTCAACCACAAAAGTAACAGTTTACCACACCATGAATCTGATCTTCGGCCCCGCTACCAGACTGTCAACACCTGTAGTTTCTTTTATGGGCTTTAACTCTTTAAGAGTTAATCTTTAGATCTGTTCTATTACGATATGTAGATACCCCTGCTTTTCGAAAGTTCCCACTAGGCAACCTCACTTATAGTAAGAAAGTTAAAAAGCAAAAAAGCGTTTAGTGTTTGTTTTACTGGAAGCCATTACAGAGGCAAAACATATTCTGAGGACCAAGAGCAGCACTGACAATCCCCTTCCCCAAGAATTACACTCAGCATCTCAGCCTCAAGTCACCATAGCTTTGAACTGTGTCTGTGGGCGTCTGTGTTTATCTCAATTCATTTTGTACATCCATTAGTAAGATGTGTCCTAAGGTATCAGAAAAACCTAGGAGAGGCTATTTTTTGGATAAGGGAACCTCAAAATGTTTTCTGTATAAATTAATGATAATTGCTTCTTCGCTGCGTATGCCATTTTGGCTCATGAAAGTTTCATAGGACTGCTCTACTTTCAGAGGACATCTTCTGTTAAACATCAGTAATCTCTTTCCAAAAAGTGTGAAACTGCTAACTGGGAGCTTATTTCCCATTATTTTAACTGGAAAAAAATTGTTAACACCTTCTTACAGGAAAATAAAAAAAACCCATTTCCTAAAATGTAACCAAGGTAGAGTAAATAACTATTATAAAGTAACCGTCTTGTTGGACATAAAACACTGTTTCCTAAATCACCAAATCATAAACTTAATAACAAAAAGTTATTTTTCATGAATCACATGCTGTATCTTACCGGACAGCGACACTCTAGACCCAGACACCCTTTGTTGACATGTTGTTCAGAATACCTTCAAGTGATTCTGACATTCTACTAATTCTATATAAAATGTATCAATACTTTCCCTAGATAGTGTTTTGTTTAAAATATTGAACTGAATTTTTCAGACATAAATTAGTTTAAAAAACACTAGATACAAATATTCACAATGTTTATCAATAAAAAGAGATGTTCTACTGAGAAAATATTAAATGAAGAAACATTCCTATATGGGATATCTGTATATTTTGTAATATATGTATGTTCCTGAAAATAAACTTAATCTACAAAATGTTACACTTAAAATTTTTATGCAAAAACAGAATTTGGGGCACACTAAACAATACATATAGAATTTTGTAAAGAGAACCAACAAATATAATTAACAATAAAAATGAAAGTACTAGTGTAGTTAATGCATTTGTAATTCCTAGTAGAAAAAAATACTACAGTAAACAGAAAGTTAACAGAAAAAAGGGAGTAGGAGGACAGAGTAGCATATTGGAATAAAGTATAAAGAACTGCTAAATTACACAGACTTGAGTAAAAATAGGAAACAAAGACTCGAAATAACAACTCAATAAGCACCTATGATGAAGCACATAGCAAAAAGATGTGTCCATCCACCCTCTACTATAATCCCGTACTGCAGACTGCATTTAACTGCACCAGCGCATTCTACATTTAGTAACTGTTACTCTGTGGATGCACACTTGCTAGAGAAATGTGTATAATGGAGTCACTGCAACTTCCCTGTTACACATACTGACAACATTAACCTACTTATCTACAGTGTATGAGCTAATCATGTAACAAGCACACCTTTTGAAGCTGTGTAAAGTTACCAAGTTATGAAAACACCTTTTACTGTGAGGTTAAAGTAAAAAATACAAGAAAATTCCATGTCACCAATTAAATTAAATCTGCATTTAAATCATGCTACTGAAAACTTCAGAGCTGTTCTCCAACTTATACATGTCTTCAACAAAAACCTTCCCCTTTTAAAATATAATTACCTCTGGTAGGGCTGAGCCCTGTCAAATTATTCAGAAATTCAATTACCTTGTTACTAACACTGATTAGTAACTGAGGAAAAGAAAGCTTGGATTTAAAGATTTAAAAAAAATTTTTTTTAAATTAAAAAATGATCCTGAAATGCAGGATCATTTAGAAAACAAGGGCTTAGGTGAAGACTGCCACTGGTAGGTGGTGACAATTCTTGGCAGCATGTGTGTGCCAAATGCCTAGAAGAATCTAAGCAGGATATGGGAAGAATATTAGAAAGAAAAACTGAATTATTTCTCAATGGTTACAAAATTTTGCTTTGCCCTCAGAAATGGAAAAGAATGCCAACACTTCTTTCTACTTCTTTCACCTCACAGTTCTAGGGTTCCACAACTCATTCCACATATTCAGTCCAGCTACTTGATAATTTAGTTAGATTTTGTGGTCTAGTTTAGGAGATTACCACTTAATATATTTTTCCTAGTGGAAAATGTTCAAAAACTTCCATTAACAAAGGAATCCATTAACAAAGGAACTTTTGGAATATAATCTGCTTCTAATTAGGGACCATTAGAACACTAAAATGTTCTTTTTTTTTTTTTTTTTTTAAAGATTTTATTTATTTATTTGAGAGCGAGACAGTGAGAGAGAGCATGAGCGAGGAGAAGGTCAGAGGGAGAAGCAGACTCCCCATGGAGCTGGGAGCCCGATGTGGGACTCGATCCCGGGATTCCGGGATCATGACCTGAGCTGAAGGCAGTCGTCCAACCAACTGAGCCACCCAGGCGTCCCAGAACACTAAAATGTTCTTAAACAGTTACTTCAATTATTAGTTCTGTCCTTTATCACAATAAGTAATAGAGTGGTAAATAAATACCACTGTACTATCATGTCCTAACGTCCACACAATTAGACAAAACAAACAAAAATGTCACACATTTTATTTAAATCTCCAATCCAGGTTTCAGTCAAAAACTCTCAATTAAAAATAGAACATCTTACCTCTAAAATCATCTCTTGCTCCTTGTCCTTCCTTCTTGTTCATTTTTATGTCAGAACAGGAATTGTTAGGGGCACCTTTCGAGTTTTCAAGGTAAGCTGAGCTGGCTCCTTTCTTGGAGGGATGAGGATCACAGAGTTTTGCATTAATTTTATAAAGCTCGAGGGCTTTAATAGCTGCTGCATTGTTATCCATACGAAGAAAAGTTGGACAGGAAGCACAAAACTCATTCGTGCAGGCCTCATTTCCACAGCCCTCAGTTAACTGGTGGTAGTAGCGTTCTATTAGATGCTTTGCAGCTGCTCGCTTCCTGTAGCAAACATTCAAACAATAAGCACAGTGATTAAGATTAGTATAGCTCCCATGTAAAAAGCTCAAGGGATCTTAAAGCAAGGCAAGTTAGTCAAGCAATAAAGTAATAAATCTGCATATTAAGATGAAGTGAAGAACATGGAGATTCACTATTTATATACAACTTTCAACCAGTGAAATGTTTGATAAAATACTGCCTAAGATACCTTTTTTTTTTTTAGCAGAAATTCTATTAACATTTTATTTATTGTTTTTAAGAAAGTAGCTTCAGAAAAAGAGGAAAACAATCTAGGTCATATATATATATATATATATATATATATATATGCACACACACACACACATACATCCATATATACACTTTTTAATAAAAACTTTTACATAATCTTCATGCATAAAGACCCAGAGGTGGCCATTTATCTGTGACAGCTCTAATTCCAGCTGTCAAAGGCCTTTACCTGGGACTCCCCATAGCTGACAGCAGTGTAGCAAAGGCCCTCCTCTTGCCCATAAAGCCCAGCTCCCTGCCTGCCTCAGGAACGGTTTTATGTTCTGGGACTGTAGAAAATGGGTAGGAAATGCTTTGGGCTAGAATAGGAAGGACAGGGAGGACTGCCCAACCCACCATGTTTTATCCAAACTCTTCAGGCAAATCCAGACAGGAAGCCTAGCAAGATGAATAAAAACCAGGGACCAAACTTAGTTCTGGAGCTTCCCAAAGACATGGAGTCTGTGACCATGAGTTCCTGCACATGGTAATAGGAAAAGTTTGACGTCTGTGGAACATTCAAGGCAGGAACAAACAAGCCTTAAAGATCCATCCCTCCATGGCAGGCACGCACTTCTACGGTAAAAAAGAGAAAGACTCTCTGTTCTGCTTCCTAACTCAGTCCAACCCTCTTTTGACTCTACAACAGTGTTAACTCATCAACCTACTTAAGACACAAATTTTCCTTCCTTCTGTGGAAGGACAGTCCTTGTTCAACATCTGTCCTATTATAAAAGGGCTGGGGTAGGAGTAGGGTAGCAGGCTGGCATGGAGGGCCACATGACCCGGAATAGATGAGAGTGAAAAGGATTCCCTGGTTCTCTGGGGGGAATTCTGCAAAAGGTATTTTATTGACCATTTTTTAAAAAGGCGGGGGGGGAGAATGGTCTTAAGGATGGTAAAAAAGAGACTTGGCTTCTTTCTTGGGTTCTGAAAGCCCAATGCTTTGTTCAGTATTAACAAAAGCCCTGAACAAACGGAGGATGATGCTTGGGGCAGCAGGAAAAAAGGATGGATTTCATAGCCAACCAAGAGAATGGCAAACAGTGCCAATCAACTCAATCTGGGGGGATCTCTGTGTGGTGAGTATGAATGAGCAGGTGAGTGTGGTGGGAGGAACCTGGGGTTCACTGGCTCCAAACAGTCAATTGTAACAGGTTCATCAAAATCATTGCTGAAATAAAATGTGCTTTTCTTTGGTTTAAAAAAAAGGGAGAAAAAAACTTGTTTGATGGTGTATGTGCTTCAATTATTTAGCAGAACAAATGAAAGTCACAAGGTTTATGGCCAAGACTTTTAGTATTTAATCATTTTAAAAAACTAACATTTAAGAAAATGAGAGTCTAGTTAAAAGTATCAATCCAACTTCCCTTTATGTAATTACTATTTTGTTTTAATAGTTTGTAAATACTTGATTTATAGTTAACATAGAACTTCTAATTGGAGAGAAACTTTTTTTTCCTCCCAATTTTCTACCATGAGAGATATAAAAATAAACTTATAAATGAAATATCCAAAGCTGTGTTATACTACAAGAAAATGATTCTGAGCATATAATGCTGAACCTAAAACATGTCACTGAACTTGCTCATTAATGCCATGTCATAGGAACATGGAGTATTTTAAGTTCCCTTAGGGCAAAGTCTTGTTTCACTACTACAACAAGAACCTAAAATATGTAGATTCACGTTCTTAACTGGCTGTTCTAGCAGAGCTTGCAAAGATACTGAAGAAGTGGGACGCCTGGGTGGCTCAGTTGGTTGGACGACTGCCTTCAGCTCAGGTCATGAACCCGGGGTCCCGGGATCGGGTCCCACATCGGGCTCCCAGCTCCATGGGGAGTCTGCTTCTCCCTCTGACCTTCTCCTCGCTCATGCTCTCTCTCACTGTCTCACCCTCAAATAAATAAATAAAATCTTAAAAAAAAAAAAAAAAGATACTGAAGAAGAGATCATTTCATCAAGCAAGAAGCCAAGCTACAATATCTATCTTTATGGTTTATTCAACTCTAAGATCTACGCTTCTTCTGTCTGATAATGTGAGATTACCGTAACTTAAAAAAAGTTATCTACTGGATCCAAAGAAACATAATTCATAGCTATTCCTTTTGGTCTGAAATTCACATGCATGGGAATAAAAACTACAAAAAATCGAAACTATTAAAAAAAATTATTTGACTCTCTAAATGTTCCACAATTATCTTACTAACATGTAAGACTAAATGGCAAATGGCAATAGAGTTCACATCTTGTTAATTGTGAGCTATATCTTGTTAATCATGAGAAACTGAACATGAAGGCAAATGAGCAGTAGATAAGACTTTTGTCTCAAAAGTAGAACTTTGTCTCTAAACTATCATGGTAAGTGACAAAGACTAGCACAATTAACCCTTGAACAATGTTGGCATCAGAGGTACAACCCCCTTGCACAGTTGAAATCTGCATATAAGCTTAGATTCCCCTGTAACTTAACTTCAAATACCCTACTACTGACCAGAAGCCTTACCAATAACATAAAAAGGCAATTAACACTTTCATATGTTATATGTATTATATACTATATTCTTACATTAAAGTGAGCTAGAGAAAAGAAAATATTTATAAAATCTTAAGGAAGACAATATACATTTATAGTACTGTCCGGATTTATCAACATGTAAAAAATATATATATATTTGTGCGGGTATATATATACCCGCACAATTCAAACCTATGTTGTTCAAGGGTCAACTGTAATTCAAAAACATTCAATTCATTCTGATGCTTCTATTTTTCAAATGTTCCATGCAAAACCCATGCATGCAAAGAGAGAAAGAAAAAAAAAAACCCTACAAAACACACTTAAAAACTGCATGGGCATCACCTATTTTATTACACGTACCTACAAACAATCCAATTTCTGAAAATTAAAGATTATTCCAGATATATCACCATGCAAAACAGTAAAGTAACAACATGTAAAGAAAGAAATACAGAACCTAGAAGATTTATAGATACCATATGTTGCTATCATTTATTAAAGAATGGGAGATTAATAATACCATCTTCTCCAGAAATACAGTAGCTTTCCCTAAAAAAAAGTAAATGGAATGTATTTCTACTTTGTAGGAAAATTATGAACATATATCAAAGTCTTAAAATTATAATGTCTTAAAAAGTCTAAAAAAATATGGAAAAATGTATTAACATTTTGATTTGAATAGCCTCAAGACTTATTAAATTGTCCATATGACTTTTTAATGATTAATTATAATTCAAAATACTAAATACTAGTTTGATATATATACAAATACATGATTTTTGAATAGCCTCAAAGCTTACTAAATTGTCTATGAGTTTTTAATGATTAATTATCAAAATTCAAAATACCAAACACTAGTTATTTTCTTAATAAGAGTATCAGGTTTTGTCCTAAGAAAAACTTCCCCAAAACCGAGTCATATTACCTAATGCTTCTGTGTGTAATCCATAAAGGAGTGTGAACAGCAAAAATAGGACAAGACTGAGAAATTAGCAGATCTGAGTTACATGACAGCTCCTTCTGCCTCTAAAAACCTGTAAGATCCTAAACAAGTAATTCTCTGAGCCTCAGTTTTCCCACCTTTCAGTTCTAAAGTTTAGGTTATTCTACATAAGAGATAGGCAAACACAGTACTAGTGATTGATGAGTGTCTGGTAACATACTATGCACTCTGGTGTAGGTTATCTCATTTGAATCCCATGGTGAGGATTACCTTCAGTTCACAGCCAAAGGAGACAACTGATATAAAATCAAGTACTCAAGATCACATGAAGGAAAATGCAGAATCAGGACAAGAACAGGAGTCAGGGGTCTTTTGGCTCTGGAGTCTAAGTCATTTCCACTAAATTGTCTCACAGAAAGTGACTGATTTCAAAATAATTCTTAACAACAGTAGTACTAAAAACTCCTTTAGAAAAAAAAAAATTCCCCATAAATAATATGTAATCAAAAAAAAAAAGCAAAACCCTGAAAAATCAAAACTTTGAATCTCATATTTATGCATATCCACTACCTCATAAGTATACCAAATTTTTTAAGGAAAAAATACCACAACATTCTGTAAAGTTAATGTATCTGTAATTTCTTGAGAACCGATGTGCTATAGATGTTCCCACTCTGGAAAGGCTGTAAGCCCTACCAGTTAAGAGCTTGCACTCTGAAGCCAGGCTCCCCAACTTCACATGTTGGCTCTGCCACTTATAACTATGTAACTTTAAATGAGTTACTTAACATTTCTGTGTCTCTGATTCCTCATGATTAAAGTGATGGTATACATTAACAATTATCATGGGTGTGAGAGAATTAAATGAGTTAATGTATATAAAACAGTAAGAATACTGCCTGGCATCTAGTAAGCACCAGGATGAGTTCGCTGCTATTACTGTTATGATTATTACTAAGATCTAAGTTTATGAATTAGCTATATAAAACATCATTGTGCTGATGCTCAGAGCAGTTACATAACAAGTTACAAATCTAGTAAGAGATTTGAGCCCAGACTTGACTCAAACCTGGGTTTTAATACCACTAAGGGGAGATTTAATATCAGACAGAAGAAAGCAGGCCCCTCTATTCAGTCCACTTCTCTGCCCAAGAACTAGAAACAGAAGCTACACAGGTGAGACAGGACTGAAAAGAGGCCATGCCAGAACTTCCACGTTATCAGCAGAATCAATCATATTAAACATTTTTTCTTCTTTACTCACACC